AATGGGGAGGAAGCTGTACCTGCCTCTCACACTTACGCGCCCATACCCACGCCAACTGTGCAATTGGGCAAATACAGAAAGGCTAAAGTGGGTTGATGAGAGATTTTTTATGAAGGAAAGTTACAGTTAAAGTTGATGAGAGGAGAGAACATTGGGGATGTCGTTGAAATAAATTGGCCAATAAAAAGTTAAAGGTGTAATTTTTCTGGTGAGGAGTCTGCAAGTCCAGAGTTTCTGTATTTTGTCTGTATTTTCAATTTTATTTTCCTCCATCGTGCCTTGAGACTAAGATAGACAGATAAGAGAGAGATGGATATCGATGAGATTAAGATACTATAGTGCAATTAAATTCGATACAATTAAATTTGATACATTTTATTCCCTTCTTTTGTCCTCGTAAGCAGCCGTTTGATGCATGATAAAAAAAATAATAATTATATGATGCTTAATGATCATTAGTGAGTGTGATACGTCTTAACTCTGAAGACGACATTTGACGACCCCCTTGTTTCCTTTAGACGTGTTTTGACACCTCCGCTGTATCACTAAAGACGTGATTTGACGACCATTAAAAACGGCTTGGTTTTTCACATTTAAACAGAGACTGTGATAGTTGGGGGCCACTACAACCCATACTAGACTGACCAATAGGATTCCAGGATATGTTTTCGCCGATTTTTTCCGAAGTTAATCGAAGTTGTGACGATTGTAGCTTCCGGAAAAAACACAACACGAAACACGAGCAATGGAAAGATCGCAGCGCTGTGGCGCAGTTTTAGAAATAATGAGGAGCGTGCGTATTTTATGGATAAGTTTAGAGAAAGTGATTTTTATAGATTTCAAAGTGATGATGAAGTTGATTATAAAGTGGAAAACAGCGATAGCGACAGACTTTCGGAGAGTGAAAATTACGAAGGTGAGAATGTCGCTGATGTGTCTGTGTGGAGTCCTGCGATATCCCAACAAACTATCAAGGACTTTATACTCGATTATGAACCAAAATTGCCCCGAAATCTGGATGTTGCTCAGGCTGAGTCTTTTTTTCCAAGAAGTGATGTATGACAGAATTGCTGCAGAAACAAACACTTATGCAGAGCTCTGCACACGAGAAAGTAACCAAGATGACAAATACTGAACACCCACTGATGGGGAAGAGTTTTATTATTATATTATTATATTATTATAAGCTAAATGAGTTGAATAAGTTAAATGGAAAAAAATGAATTAGGTGCACACAGGTGTACAACATTTAAAAACAGGTGCACACTTGGCTATACTGTATCTGGTGATATGAAATCTGTTTAAATACTTTGACAAATATATTTTTTTCATTTTTTTATAAATACAGTACTCAGAACATGCATATATCAGATGCTGAATGTCGTTTTTTGTTTTCGATTTTGCACCTGACCCGGTAAACTCTCATTTTCAGTGAGCTGTTATAAACCTCTAAATGAGTTGAATCACTTTTAAACATCCATAAATGAAGAGTTCAGAGTCTAAGGTTTCCAGAGATACAAATATGTCTGTTTCAATAAAGTTCATGTGTGTAAAAATCATTTATAATCACTTGTGGAAGTCTATGCAGTTATGCTCTATGTGCAGCCCTCGGAATATATGTATGGGTTGTTCCTAGTCGGCGTCCAAGGGGGAAAGAGTTAATGACCTGTATGTGTTAAATGTAGGTGAGTGCATAAATGATGAGAAGAAATATCTCAAACTTTCGTAGCCGAACATCCACTCATACCTGATCTATACATCTATCACTACGCCCGGGAAGCCTGAAATCTGATGAAATCCTGTAAGACACTGACATGATCCAAGACTCATCCTGCAGGAGACATGCGCAATAGTAGTAGTTGTAATAGTTTGTAGGGTAACAGTAACCAAAATATCGTGCTATCGTATCATCAAAAGTCTCATAATATTATCGTGGACTGTCACAGTATATTGAATTACAAGTTCTTTTGCTGAAATGCATGGTTTTATAGTAGCAATAGCTTATGAGCATCAGAAACTACATATCCCATGATTCATTTCAGTGCAGACAACATGAAGAAATATGTTTTTGACTTGAATTCTTGGGATTATGACAGAAATAATTCACACCAAAATCTTGTCAAGGTATTTTAAAAGCAAAATTGTCCTTTCTAAAATTATATCAGCCTCTCCAACATATCGCAATATCGTGATAATATCATACCGATATTGGATATGGTTACATCGAGTACCGAGTAGTTTATTTTCTTCAGTTATGTACTTAATCGTGTATTTCATAGACTGTTGGAAACGTTTCACATAAGACATAAGACAGAAGTGAAATCACTTCTGAACGGTACCAAGAATATGACAGATACCACAGAGAAAAAAAGTGTATATATACAATAATAATAAGAGTACTCATGAGTTCAATACACTTCTTTTGAGTAAATTCTATTTCGCTCTGTGGCAACCACCATGAAGATGTATTTGCTTTGTTTGGAATGTTCTACAATGTTCTACTATTTTTATTTATTCAATTACAGTTCTTTTTGTTTTTTTTTCATAATACCACAAAAAACATGCAATCTTGGGAGTGGGGTGTCCTCACCACAGATTTGACCTTGGCCGGAGCCACTGCTTGTCTCCATGGAGATAGATGTGTTTCATGCCATACTGTGTAACATTCCAGACAAAGCAACAACATCTCCACAGACAACAGTAATAATATTATCCTCATTAAAACATAAAACATACCTTGCATTGCCTTTTTTTTTTTTTTTTTTTTTTTTTTTTTAAAGGGCACATCTCATGCAAAATCAACTTTTCAGAGCTTTCTACCTTCTAAGAGTGATGTGTGGGTCTTGTATAGAAGTGTTTTTTAGATTGATTCTGCGTTTTTTTTTAAACAAATTGCAGCATATTTCTGCCTCCCTCCCACATGACAACGAACTAAAGCTGCTACAACTATGACACGGCAGCTACACCTATGATGCGTTTGACGTGGCAGAAAGCGCTTTGCAGCCGCCCCCTCCTCTGCTCCACCGCCTCCACCCCGCATTGTCTGACAATTCCCACATGAACACCTAAACAAAAGCGACATCATAAGCTCATTGTTCTACACTGCAGTGAACACGATATAATAAGTTGATCTACTATTGTTTATTAACACTTTACCAATCAGTAATGTTCAGCTGATGTGGACGCGGTGCTTGAGCTTCATGCACCTCAAAGTCCTCGTCCGATTCCGGGTCCAACACATGCGGCTGAACGCGCTGTATCTCCATGATGAATAAAAGTTTATTCCTACCACTATCAGGGTGCAGGTCTGTCTCCCCCTCCCTCCCTGAGATGGGCGGAGGAAGGGCGGCTCACTCATCGCCTACGTCACGTTTGGAGGGCGGAGCCTGTGCTTTCTCAGGACGGGCGGGGGGAGGAGCAATAGTCGGCCTTTCATAGTTCCTGGTCTGTGACTGTCTCCAAGAAATCAGTAAGATTTCATAACTATTGTGTAATGGATGTTCCAAAACCCAAATTGTGCTTGTATATGTGCAGAAGATACAATGTGAAAAGAGTTATTTTGCATGAGATGGGCACTTTAATTCACAAACATTTCAGCTATAAATACTTTGACTTTTTCTCTTTAAGTGTATTTTTAAAGGAGCACTTCATTACTTTTTACTTAAGCAGTCACGTAGTACTTTTACTTTATTTCTTTGCTCCAGTATCTGTACTTTTACTTATGTAACAGAATTACAAGAAGTACTTCTTACAGCCATCAAATGTTTGTCAAAGGATTTCACGAGCCCAAATACTTCTTCTAAATAAGTGTGCTTCATTAGTACACAGTGTGGCTGCCGGGTTAATATTAGCTTTGACTGTTACAGTGGGAAAACAGCACATGTGCTGTCAGATCTTTCATTGTGGTACATCTGTGAAGCAATGTGCTCCACAGAGGACTTTGGCTGTGATCATTTAACTCCTCCCCACTTATCTTGTCTTGTTTGTCGCCCATATGTGCACTTCACATGAACTCATTCTGTTAAAGCTGCGCGATCATTTACAACACTGATTTCACATCACTGACTTAAATTAATAGAATTTAGAAAAGCAAAATGGCTCCAACTGTTTAGATAATTGTGGCAAAGTATGTTGGCAGGATACGACGAGCCACAGCTGCCCTGGGGACGCATAATCTCTGCCAACTGCCTGGAAACCTCACTTAAAGGAACTGTTTGTAAGATGTTGCTTTTAAATACCACAATCTAATTACGTCCCCAGGTACAAGGTAAACAAATCAAATCAAATCAGTTTTACTAATGATAATAATTTGGTGTCTGGGTCTCAAGATAATAATCCAATCAGAAAGCAGAATGAGCCTCACCTGAGTCTCTTGATGCCAGTGTAATGTTGAAATTCAGTTGGTTTAAACCTAAAATGTCTCTCTCTGATCTGAATGGACACTACCTAAACCCCAGCCCCTGCAGCATCAGGAGTCAGTGCTAGTGCAGCCTCTGCAGCTCAGGGAGGGAATTCTGGAGGCTCTGAGCTTTCACATGAGGCCTGTCCATAAACTGAGAATGAGAAAATCTTGTGTGTCTCTATCTGCAGGATAAGACTCTGGCAGCACAGGTTCAGTTCTGATTCCAAAGAAACTGTATTAGTGCAGCGGATATACAGTTCCTTTAAAATTTTACAGTGGATACTTTTTACTTAACTGCTATTGAAACACAAAAATTTGTGCAATCCCACCTGAGACAGTTTTTTTGATGGTGTAAAAATACTCCTCTACTTATTTTTTTTTTACTCTAAAAGTAAATATTTAAACTTGTATAGTTTTACTTATGAATAATTGTATATGTATTTATTTTTGCTCATGTGACTGTGCTTTTAGTCATGTAACAAAACAAAATGCTTTTTTCATCCACTGGCCAATAACCTTTTAAACTACAATGACTCATTCACACATCCCATCTGAGCACAGGCCCTGATTCTGCCTGTCTCTCTTGTCTGTGTTTCAGTTGACGGCGGCTGGGACGAGTGGAGTGAGTGGACGGTGTGCAGCAGTCAGTGTGAGAGACAGCGCAGTCGTGAGTGTAACTCTCCAGCCCCACGGCACAGAGGCAAGATGTGTGAGGGGAGCAGCCAGGCCCACGAGAACTGCACCAACGGACTGTGCACACAGAGTAAGGCCGATTCTACTGGTCACATGTGTGTTTGTCATAATCATCTTTTTTCAGTTCTGATGCTGATACTTGGCTTTGAGTTCATGTCAAGGCCCAATATCAACCAACACTTGTCTCCATGGAGATGTTACTGCTTTGCCTGGAACATTCCACAGTCCATCCATCCATCTTCTTCCCCTTATCCGGGGCCGGGCTGGGGGAGCAGACTTCCCTCACCCCAGGCCTGAGGCCTCCTCCTGGTGGGACATGAACACCTCCCCAGGGAGGCATGCAGGAGACATCTGGAAGAGATGTCCTCCACTCAGACGCTCCTGTCGGTGTGGAGGAGCAGTGGCTCTACTCCGAGCTCCTCTCGTGAGGCTGAGCTCCTCACCCTATCTGGGAGCGCCCAGTGAAGGAAACTCATGTTGATCACTTGTTTCAGCCATCTTGTCATTTGGGTCATTACCCAAAGCTCATGACCATAGGTGAGGGGAGGAACAGAGACTGAACACTAAAACGAGAGCTTTTTGACTCAGCTCCACCAAGATTAATGATTCAATTAAATCAATGAAAAAAGTGCAATTTTCAAGGAACTATGGAACAGTATTTTATTAACAAAAGTTCAAACATTATGAGAGGCCAACCCTGAGCCATTGCTCTACACAGTATTTTTATCTTTTTATGTATTTATTTATTTTTTTATGTGAGGATCAAACCGATACCGGTCTTGATATAAGTGCAAATCTATTTCAGCCTGTGAGCTGCATCAAATACATTCAGTTTAAACTTCCCATCGAAGCTTTTGATGTTGTTTACACTTCAAACACAATTGTAGTAATATTTGATCTGCAGTTCAATGCTCTACACCAGAAACTTGAAAGTGCTCTTGTGCGCTTCTAAAAAATGTAATGAAAGATGTCTTTCCCAATACGGCATGTGTGTAATCTCTGTAATGGTGTTTGAACCTCCCACTCAAGAAAACTCAAATGAATGACTTAATATGAGACCATGTGAGCTCAAAACATGACAGGCACGATGTACAGGCTTGTTCAGACGAGCTGTGTGTAGGCTGAGGATTAAATCCCAAAATGATGAGATGAGATTCCCTGTCCCTGATAACGCCACTGGCTCCTCACCATCTTGTGTTCACTGGACGTACTGTGAGAGTTTTATTGAAATGTCAGACACAGTGTGGGTCAGACTCAGGTAGTCACTGAACACTGTGGATGTCTCTGCTGCTGGAGGTTCATCAGAGGAGACACCAGCACCAGGCCTCTTTAATATATTAATACTGCAGAATGTTCAGTCAGACCTGCACGAGTGATCACAACAGTCAGAGGCCCCAGTGCAGTCCACTACAGCGTGAAGCTTTGTGTCACTCAGGAAGCAGGAAAGTGCAGTGAATGTGACAAACCCCCCCCCTTTTCTCCACATCCTATTGTAAAAGCTGTTACTTGTAAATAACATTTTATATCTTATCTAGATTTATCTACACAGTTATATAAAAAGATCAGTCAGATGAGGAGTGTGTGGAAGGTTCCATGCTGCTATTCTGTCTTACTGTCGGAGTAGCAGCATAAACATTATTTTTCAAGCGTCCCACTACCTCAACATATTTTTTTCATTGTCGGAGTAGCAGCACTTTACTATTTTTTAAACATTCTGCTTTTCTAACATGCATAATATTAATTTGATGGCCTATTATACTTTGCGTTCCCATATATCATAAGATGCTTGGGCCAGTGAATACTTCAGCCAAGAGGATATCACACAGTGGGAAAATGTCCTAACTGATCGCCATGGGAAACAGTCATACATTTTAAAAAAGAGCATAGGCCAGCCTTCAAGAAAATATTTAATCTAAAGCAGAGGCTGCATGGGCCCTTTGTGCTTCATTCATCTGAGCATATAGGCGATCTGCGGAGAACACTATACTACCTAAACAAGTAACCAAAATGAACCAAAGTTCATTGCCCCAGCTCAATGAGATGACACTCTTACAGCCCAAAACACATATTTGACTACCTGCATATGACGTGTCGGCATATCTAAATAGAGGCATGTCATAACATCAACATGTTTAAATAGAGACATGACGTAATGATGGGATGTTTGAATAGGTGGTGGACCCCGTGTGGAAAAACTGCTTGTCACTATTCCAGACAGTTGTTTCACTGTCATGATTGAACCTTCACCTAAGAGAGCGAAGAATGGAGCTAAGTGTGTTGTAAAATAAAGGTACCTAAAGAGGAAGTATTTCAATCTCATTTGCCTCGTTTACATGAGAACTTTAATTCCAATTAAAATACAGTAATGTAATTCGGAATAAAAATGAAATCCGCTTAAAAAAACACTTGATTAATCGGAATTGAACTTAAATCTGAATAAAGTGGGGGGGTTTATTCTGATTTTAAAGCCAAATTAATGTATTCCACGATCATGTAAATATTTATTCTGCTTAAAAAATAATTTTGGTCATTCAGTGTATGTGCGTTGGATCAAACTTCTGACGTGATGACGCACTGCCAAATGGTGAAAGAGTTTGTATCTCTGTTTCCCGGTACCTGTGTAATTGTGAAAGGTGCTGAGGTTCCCCGTTAACACCGCGAGCCGTCCTCATCCCAAGTTATCATCATGAACTCATAAAACAGCAGCATGTGGCTTAAAACTTTACACAACTCACTGCACATCAGCTCAGAGCAGAAGCTCTGAGTCTGTGTAACAGCAGTAAATACATAGTAGCACTCACCACAGCGCGCAGCCCCTCCTTGGTCTTTTGCTGACCTTTGAGTGGGTTGGTCAGACAGGTCCATAGGCTCTGTCCTCCATGTGTTGAGTCAAGACAGGGGCGAGCAAGACCATAGGATCTGTGCAGAGAAAATGTGAATGCTCTGTGGCTGCTCCTGTCCTCCGTGCTCGAGGAGCTCAGCTGGTACTGAGGTGGTGCAAAACATCCAGACAGAAGCACGAATCCCGTTTGGTTCATTATATCTTGTTCTGAGTGGTCCGTCCTCCGTGCTTTTAGTTCTTCCCAGAGAAAATGCTTCTCCAGCTCATGGAGGCTCGACCTGAACCAGAGCTGCTCCCGCTGGTTCAGGAGTCTGGGTTTGGACCGCTGTTTCCCAGTTTTTATGGGTGGGGGAACAGCATCTGCATCCCCACGTGTAACAACAAACCAAGATGATAAAAAAGCCAGTAGCAGCTGAAGTGTGTGTTTTCTTCTAGTCGACGTAAATGCTTTAGTGTCCCTGTCCAATCAGAACCCTTTCTCACCTCCAGACGTTGAGCGGAATTAGATAAAGTCGATTTAATGTGTTTTCCATGTAAACCTTTATTCGGAATTTTTTTTTTTTTTTCTTATGTAAACTTGAAGGAGAATAATTTAAGTCCAAATTACTTAATTTGGAATAATTAAATCAGAATGAAAAAACATCATGTAAACAAGGCCAGTGTCCCTAGAATAAATTTAGAACAACTATTTTCAGACGTGAAAGTGGGGTGGACTGCTCAGACACTGCGCTTACTTCCAGGTTGACGTGAAATGAAAATACTGTAAATACTTTTATATTAGCTGCAGTTGTCTTATTTTTCTTCAAGTACTCTTTTGGGGAAAACACAATGAATACTCATGTACAAAGAAAGAAAGAGTTATTTCCATTTTATATGCAATAATATATATATATTTTTATAAATTCTTCGTAAAGGTCCTACATTACACAAAACTGAGTGAATGTTGTTATCTCATCAAAAACTCCTGGAGTTGAGTGTTTTTTTTTGTATTTTGTTTGTTTGTTTTTTTAGTAACCCTATCTACATCTGGGCCCGGTCAAGCAGAAGTAAACAGCAAGGCCAAAAATTCAAGTTAAAGCATCTGATATAAAAATGTATTGAACAGATACATATGTACTCTAGTTTATGAAACTGTTTACCTTTTTTCTGTAACATTTTTGGTTCTAAAGTTCCATATGTTTTAAACAGACCATGTATGAAACATGGAACAAAAATTATTTCCCAAATTTCAAAGACCTGAAAATCATGTAAATAAATGGATGTATTTCATCATATCTTGTGTTATTCCATCTTTGAACTGTTGATGAAGGTACAGGATTTTTCAAAAAAAAAAATTTTTAAATGATAAAAATTTGCTTGGAAGGACTGACATATTTTATAGAAATAGTTCCCTTTCATTTTGAAGTAATATTAAAGTATTCGGAAGAAAAAAGCGACAAATTATGCAAAATCATGCACATTCTACTTGTTTGCACAATTTTCCCTCTGTTACTTTTCCCTCCGTTACCATGACCTTTCTTAATAAAAAAATTTCGTTACTCAAAAAGTAAGAGGTTTTTCAACCAAATCTTGTACCATATGGTAGAAAACTATATGAAGCAAATATTCAAACCAGTTTGTTAAGGATATGGAAGTGAGAACCAAGAGTTATCACTGTTTGGATTTATTGCCCAAAAAGTGCTGCATATTTTTTTAAATTTTAAGTTAAAGTTTTTAAATTTTTTGTCAACAACTTGAAAGAATATCACAGGTTTAACTTGACCCTGTTGGAGTGTAACTCTTTCCTACATTCTGATACTAAGAGACATTTGAATGTCAAAAATCTGCCCCTGTTTCCCTCCGTTACCTCTTGACCGGACCCATCTCCCATCTCCAAAGCTCAAAATGCTCAGTTCCACCTTGTGATGTCAAGCTTTCCAATTAACAATTTTTAATTTTTTTTTCAATCATTTCAAGTGATTAAAACCACAGCAGAGCACTTCCTATATTTATTTCCTGTTTGTGAGAACTCAAATGTGCAGAATCTGTGTGTTAAACGTGTGAAGGAAACAAAACACTACTCCAGTTTTGTTTGTGACGAGGAAACAACATTAGACCAGATCAGAAACACATCTGTCACACGACGACGCTTTCAGACCATTTTCAACCTATTAGCTGCCACGGATCACCGGTCCTTTTGGTCATTCATAATTTGAGCTCTTCTGTGTTTCATCCTTCCACCATCAACCGTGCATGCAAGCTCCAACCCCCATTCACTCATTCTGTTTCATCCCAAACCCCACTTTGAATCCAGCCTCTACCGAAGCTCTCCCCCCTCTCCACCATAAACCCTGACAGTACCTTGATGTGAGCGTAGCGTGGACATTAATGACTCCTGTATCTGGCCGTTGCCGGTAGCGACGCAGTACTTGTTAGCGACTCCACACCAGATCCACACTCTAATCACCACTTTTCTCTCCTCTTTGTCCCATCCCTGTGTGTTTTTGCAGATCGAAAGCTCCTACATGACGTTAAACCTGAAAGTGAGTCCTCTCTTTCTCTCATTTCTACCCCCCCTCGCCTCCCTCCTGCACGAGCCCACTTAAAGCGCACGTGGCCGGGGCTGTAGTTTTGAAGCCGTGGGGGTGGGAGCGGGTCACCTGTGTGTAGGGAAGTGGCAAAGCGCTAGTTATAGGAGAAGATGAAGGCGACTTAAAAGGGTCTTTGAAGACTTTTGCAGGGTTACGCACTGAGGAGTCAATTAAAAGTGGTAGTTTCCGAGCCGGGGTGCGCGGAATGCATGGGCATTGTAGTGTGGTGCATTGCAGATACTCAGAACTAGAGCTAGACTGTTTCATAATTTGTTGGTTAATTATTGTTTTGTTTTTTTTAAGAAAGAAACTGAAGTAATGTACATAAAGTTGCATTGTGTAACTTTCTGGTGGAGGCTTCGTCAAATGCTTTTCTCCACGGAGATGTTATTGCTTTGTCTGGAATGGTTCACACTTGCCCCATTTACATGCGAGTGATAAAAAATTTTATTTAATTCGGAATAAAAAATAATTCCGCTTTAAAAAGACCATGTAAACACTTAATTCCTAATGATTATTCGGAATTAAACTTATTCAGAATTCAATTTAAATCCGAATTAAGTGGGTGGTTTATTCTGATTTTAAAGCGGAATTAATTTATTCATTCATGTAAACATTTATTCCGCTTAAAAAATAATGCCGGTCGTTCAGTGCATGCTCGTTGGATCAAGCTTCTGACACGATGACGCACTGCAATATGGTGAAAAAGTTTTGTATCATGTTTGTGTCCCCGTACCTGTTTCCCATTGCCTGTGTAATTGCGAAAAATAGCGAGGTTCCCTGTTAATACCGCGAGCCGTCCTCAAGTTATCATCATGAACTCATAAAACAGCAGCATGTGACCTAGAACTTTACACAAGTCACTGCACATCAGCCCGGAGCAGAAGCTCTGAGATCACGTAAAGACAGAGGACACTCACCGTAGCACGCAGCCCATCCTTGATCTTGTGTCGTCCTCTGAGGTCCATAGGCTCCGACCTCCATGTGCTGGGTCCAGATGGGGATAAGCAAGACCACGCAGAGGATCCGTGCGGCGAAAGTAAGAATGCGCTGTGGCTGCTCTGGTCCTCCATGCTCGAGGAGCTTGGCTGGTACTGAGGTGGTGCAGCATCCGGACAGAAGCGTGAATCCGGTTTGGTTCATTATATCTTGTTCTGAGCGTCCGTCCTTCGTGCTCTTAGTTCTTCCCCGGGGAAAGCGCTTCTCAGGCCGAGGCACCTAACACCACTCCCCGCTCCAGCTCATCCAGGCCCGACTTGAACCAGAGCTGCTCCCACTGGGTCAGGACTCTGGGTTTGGACCGTTGTTCCCCAGTTTGTATGGGCGGGGGAACAGTGATACGCGACCCCATGCATAAGAACAAACAGAGATGATAAAAACGTCAGTAGCAGCTGAAGTGTGTGTTTTCTTCCGGTTGACGTAAATACGCTGGTGTCCCTGTCCAATCAGAACCCTTCCCTTACTGCCAGACGTTGAGCGGAATTAAATAAAGACGATTTAACCTGTTTTCCATGTAAACTTTAATTCAGAATTATTATTTCCATGTAAACTCGAAGGAACATAATCTAAATCCGAATGAATTAATTTGGAATAATTAAACTGTAATTTAAAAAACATCATGTAAATGTGGCCAGTATGGTATTTCTTTCTATCTTTCTATCTTCATAGAGACCAAACCAGGCTATGTTACAGGTCAGATCTATGGAGAGGCGACCCTGCTCACAGTCAGAATGTTTGTTTTTTAGGTACTTTTGAGCTATAAAACCACCTGTAATTGAATAAACGTAAAGCAGAGCTGTTTAATGTCATACTGTGGAACATTCGAGGCAGAGCAATGATATCTCCATAGAAACAAGCAGGTGACAGACCCCCAACCAAAAAGTTTGTGCACCTATATGTAAAAGTACTTCAGTAAAAATGATATTACCCAAGTAGAAGTAGAAAGTTATGTTCCAAGAAATACTTACTGCAGGTACACTATGTAACTTTTTACAGTGGAGGATGCGCCAATTGTTTGTCTCCATGGAGATGTTACTGCTTTGCTTAAAATGTTCTACAATACGTCATAAAACATATCCGTTTTGCATTTATTTAATTACAGATGTAGTAATTACACTGAAAACATGTATTCTTACTGTGAGCTAGGTCGCTTCTCGCCAGATCTGACTCTACTTAGCTCTGTGTAGATAGATTTAAGTTTAATGCCATACTGTGGAACATTGCAGGCATCTCCATGGTGACCGGTAGTAATAGTAGTAGTAACAGTAATCCTTTGTGGATCCGTAATGTCTGTCTAAGGCCCCGTCCACACTAGTACGTATTTGAATCGTTTTTGTTGCAGATGCAGTGTTCGTCCACACTAATCTGATGGAAAACGACTCCAGAGACGGAAAAATCTGGTGCCTCCAGCTCCCACGAATTCATTTGAGTACAGATCTGATCCGGCACTGTGTGGACGCCTGAAAACAATGATACGCTGATGTAGTTCTATGCACCACAAATTAGGCTAATTCAGCACCAAAACACTAAGAAGCTAGAATATATGTCCATTCATATAAACCGTTTGTGCATATGATCATACACAAAGGTTTAACATGAACCATCTCCAACGCGATAGAAGAACAGAACAAACTCACCATTAGCTGAACCCTCTGTCACAGAAAGAACATATTCCACTGAGTCGTGTCCTTTAGTCCGACAGAAGCTGAACCACATCAGCGACACAATAGCGAGCTGTTTTTTAAGCACTTAGTTTATCCAAATGAGCCATGCGGTTTTAAGTTTCGTTTCTGTAAAACATAAACAAATATGCTCAAAGCTGTGTGGATAAGGAAGACCCGCGGACACAGAAACGAGTCAGTCCTCACTCTGAGACGCCATGCTCATCTTCAAATCCAGTGTTACGCTAAATAACAACTGAAGCTCGTCGTCGGTCCACAAAACGTTTTTACACTTGCCATCTCCCTCGGCTCAAAATCAGCTGCTGCAACTTCTGACTTGTGACACCAACTTATCACGTGACCAGCGTTTCAGGCGGTTTTGCGTTACTGTGTGGACAGGGAACGCTTTGACTGCGGATACAGAAATGACGTGTCTGCACGCAGATCGTTTCTGATACGGTGATGCGCGGATTCGTTTCAGTATAAACGGGGTCTAAGTCTAAGTAGGTGGTGGATCCTCTACCAGAAAAGTTACATAGTACACCTTTAAATAACAGTAAAAAAGTGTTTGGAAGAGCCAATACTTAATTAAGAGTAACTGTACGGATGTAAATTCTGATTTCAAGTTTGAATTTAATGTATTTTGATGGGAAAATATAACCTGGTATTTTCAAGGGATTGACCTAAACTAAATAATATCTGAAAACATGGTGCAAGTAACACAATTATTCAAATCATTTTAGATTTTAGAAAGCTTTTCTCACTTGTTGACTTCATCACAGTGGGAACTATAACGTTACTGTATAACTGTTACACTGTGAAGTATATTATGAGTAAAAGTACGTAAACGTAACTGAGTAAACTTCTCTTTAAAGTGTGCGTACCAGGATCAGATTACTGCATGTTTACACACACATAATGAAATTGCTAACCGGCTATGGGTCTCGGCTTCAAATTGAGCCCTATAACTGCCGGCTTCAATTGGCTTCATTTGACTGGAGACGAACGCTGTGGGTGACGTCGCACTAACTTTAGTCCACTTCTTTACACAGTCTGTGGTCCAGATTGTTTTGAAAAGCAATATTTAAACATCCAATATTACACCAAATTGACTCTTTTGAGCTTTAAGACATGTTAGAATGTTGTTACCTTCTCAAAAACAGACCTGGAGTTGTGTTTTGTTTCCTTCACACATATTTGAGTAACACTTTATTGTTAGTTTGTCTGAAATCCAAACGTGTTAAACATGTGTGAATGAAACAAAACACAACTGCAGGTCTGTTTTTGGCGAGGATACAATATTATAACGTAGATCAGAAAAATCTAATCTCTGGGTAAAAGTATGTGGGCAGATTTGAAACAGTAGACTAAGAGGAAGGTTAAAATAGAAATGCATGAACTTCCGAGAGTTTTTTTTTTTTTTTTTTTTCATTTTTGTTGGCTTTTATCTTTCTGTTTGACACCCAGCTAACTGTAGTGTAATCCACATTGCATGCTTTCTTCTCATTTAACCCATTCACAAGATAATGCCCCACGTTTTTACATGCATGTATCGTCATCATTGCTGTTTATACTAGACCAGCGCTTTTCAGTGGATTAAACCAGGACTGAACTAGTACTAAATCAGGACTAAACCAGGACTGAGAGTCAGGACAGGCCTGGAGGTGCTCCCACATAGACCGTCAGGTGACCGCAGGAGAAAAGAGTTCTACACCCACGGAGCTAAGCACAGCCGTTGCCCGATAGCACTTTGCAGACACTCTGCTCCACTGGCTCGAGGTTCTCCCTTTCTCTCAAATCCAAGATTAGTCCTAGTGTAGTACTGGTTTAGACCTGGCTTTGTCCTGGTTTAGACCTGGTTTAGTCCTGGTTTAGACCTGGTTTAGTCCTGGTTTAGTCCTGGTGTAGTCCTGGTTTAGACCTGGTTTTGTCCTGGTTTAGACCTGGTTTAGTCCTGGTGTAGTCCTGGTTTAGTCCTGGTGTTGTCCCATTTTAATCCTGGTGTAGGCCTGGTTTTGTCCTGGTTTAGACTTGGTTTAGATCTGGCTTAGTCCTTGTCCTGGTTTAGACCTGTTTTAGTCCTGGTGACCGATGTTCAGTAATGTTAAAAGTCGCCTCAGTTAGGCTGCATGAAGTTGGAAATTATTTGCTGTTATAAAAAGTCATTTATGAATGTACTTAAAAAAAAAAAAATAAATAAATAAATATAAATATATATATATATATATACACACATATTCGACGGCGCTTGCGGCTTTAATTACCCTTATGTCTTGTCATCTTTGTGTGTAC